CGCAACAAGCTTCTGAAGAGTGGTAGAAAATGAATCTGGTTATCACCTCTATCCTAGTTAAGGTATGACGGATATAACTAATTTTGGAACTCATAGGTACCGTAAGGCACAACTTGCTCTTGAGAAGGGTGAGGAAGATCTTGCACGTGAGGCTCTAAAGAGGCGTAAATCTTATGCTGTAAGATTTCCTTGTTCCTAAAAGAATTTATGCTAGGAGTTAGCCCAAGCTTTTACTTTTAATGAAAAATGGGGGTCTGATATCATATTTTTGTAAGATTTCATGTTGACATAGTTCACTAAAGAGGACGAAAAATGAGGGTCTTGAGGTTTCTTTCTGGTATTTTTATATGAAATATGAGGCAAGGAAGTCTGATCTAAAATAGAAAACTATTTCTGGAAATTGGTTTTTGTTCGTATAAGTCGTGTTAGTGAGCTGAGCACTTTAATGGGTTTGGGAAAATTAGCAATCAAGGTCAGGAAACAGGGATATTATATTTGCTCCAGTTTATTTAACATTTATTATATCAATGAATCCAGTTAGAAAAATTTTGGATGGACATGACCCACTCTTCTGCGAAAGCTGCTTTCTGAAGTAGTTTATGATTGATTATGCCTCTTTACATCTGAAAAAATTCTTCATGCTGAGAAATAAGGTCATTGGAAGAAAATTATTATTTACTGCTGTTTGCTGAGGATGTGCTATTCTTAGATTGTAGGAATTTAGCTACATACAAATGCCATATTTTGAGAATTCAGTATGCTTTTTTTGGTGCAGGATAATGCTAATTCTTTGAAAGCTCAGCTTGATCAACAAAAAAATGTTGTTGAAAATCTCGTCTCTAATACTAAGGTATACTATTTATAAATTGCTGCATCAATAACACATTCAAATGGTGATATTGAAATAATAGTATGCTAACCATTATTCCTTATCATTAGAAAATAGTAGCATGCTTGAATTGACTAATCTGAAATTGCAGATAGCTCATGCATTCCGTTGTTCTGAAACATCATGAATTTTGGATTTCTATTTGAGTTGGTTGTCATTTCTTTAGAGAATTGGCTACTAGAAATTGGGAGAAAAATTATACTTTTTAATGTTCTTTGGTATAAAATGCGTGAGCTAGATTATTTATTCTTTTGTATTGCCATAGTTCATATGGTAGTAGAGTTCAACTCTTAGGTTAATGACTAAAGTAAGTGACCGAATTTTGAGAGATTTATTGTGGTTGATGCAATTTTAGGTGGCCCTGGTGCCAACTGATTTAAAAATTGGATAGGTTATCAATTTTTTAAAGCCCATTTGGTTTTGACCTTTATTTCTAAGTTGGGTAACCAATAATTTTAAAATGTTTAAGGTGATGGGAAATTACTCAACTTATCATATAGATAGTTATAACATCCTCTTTATACACAAACTCTTGAGCTTAAAATATGGCAAAGTACAGACTTCCAATATCTTATCCTGACCTTAACTTCTCTAAGATTCAAAATCTTGACCTCTTTTGAAGTAAGTACGATAATTAATCAATTATGCCAAATTTTCAAGTTGATAATGGCTCAACTTATTATTATATATTTTAACAATTATAGAAATTCTAAAGTTTGCAAAACAGACCTCCCCCCTCCCCGAAAAGAAAAAAAGGAAAGAATCCTCATACTCGATGACAAAATTGCAGTATATCCTGCAAGGTAGTTGGTTTTGTTCAGTTTGACTAAGACATGGTGATGTGGCAAATGTTGATTAACTTTTCAGCGGAAAATATGACAATAATCATGTCGATAAACATTTTACAAAAAGAATGCGTTGAAGCTCTTCCTGGACTAGTAACTGGGAACAAAATTCTTTGTAAAACCAATTATGCCTTTTAAATCACTGGCAGTTGTCTGTTCCAATAGCCAGGAAAAATAACATATGCAGGAATTTTGTTGATTTGGCAATTTGTTCTTTTCATATCCTCCTGTTTTATTATGCTAATGTTTGGACTAATTTGTTTTACCGAACAAGTTCGGATGAATTTGTAATTCTGCTCAAAACTTAAGCACATTTTTCTAATTTACTGTATCAGTCTTACTATGATTTCTGATTCTTGCTTTCATTTTGGTGGGAAAGTTATTACATATTAATAAATTTGTTACAGTTGCATTCCGTGAATTCCATTTATTGTAGCTCTTGGAGAGCAAAATACAAGAAGCAAAAGCAAAGAAAGATACTCTGAAAGCACGTGCTCAGTCTGCAAAGTTAGTCTTCTCCACTGATTTCATCACTAAATTCCCATGTCTCTTTCTGTGACACTTCTTTAGTGTTGCTAGTTATGGCAATTTTGATGTTAATCAGGACTGCAACCAAAGTGAGTGAGATGTTGGGGAATGTCAATACTAGCAGTGCTCTTTCAGCATTTGAAAAAATGGAAGAAAAGGGTGAGAAGGATTTTTTTTTTTTTTTTTTGGCAATCTTGAAATCCATAAATTATCTCTTTGATCAAGTGATTTGAATTGTCTTTGCCTTTCACATAATAATCTTCTTGACCTATCAATTCCACACCATGTTTTGTTATAGAAAGAGTTATATTTGGCACGATTACTGTTTTTCTCGTAAAAAGTGATTATGTGATATAGAAGATATGATCAGTTTTAGCATGGTCATGTCTGGTGAACACGGGGCTGATGGCCATAGTGCATATTTAAAGCATGAAGTTTCCAGATTGCTGAATATCCATTGCGTTCCTGCAAGTTTTATTTGATTGTGATGTTCCCTTGCATGGTTGGTTTCCAACATGTTGGTTGAAATCAGTTGTTTCATTGTGCTAGTATGCTTAAGGCACTTGTTTATATAGTTGGGAGAACATTGAATTTGTAAGAATGTTGATGCTTTTCTGTGGTGCATATCCATGATGTCATGTCTTAGGTCAGCAAGGATACGCTCTACAAATGACGGCAAATATAGAACATGCACCGAAGATGTGTGCTTATCTAAATTTATTCTGTTTCTAACTAATGGAATATTTTGCTGATCTAGCTTTCTCCCTCTCTGATGTCATCCTTTTTATTTGCTACCACTTCACTTTTTTATGATGCTCCTGACCAGGTTAATGAATATGACATTTCCTAAATTCCATTAATTTGCTAAAACCACAGTTACATCCTTATACAAGTTCCTTCCTCAGCCTCATGGTTGGAATCCGTATGCAAGATAAATTCTCCTCTTGCTGAATATTTTTTTTTCTTTTCAGATCTGACAATCATATTCCTTCTCCAAAAGAAAAAGTTAACAATCATTTCCTTTTGCATTAAGATTTCCTATTCCATTTCTTGATGGATATGTAAATTATTTCTGTACTACATTTAATATCTATTGGATTTTGTCTATGTTTTCTGGATATATTTACTTTTCTTGTTGTGTGTTTGATGTTCCTCCTTTAGTGTTGGCAATGGAGTCCCAGGCAGAAGCTCTTGGTCAGTTGACTACTGATGACCTTGAAGGAAAGGTAGCAATTAATTCCTTCTTGATATTCATGTAATGGGATTACGCCAAATATTATAAAGATAATTCACTTTCTTTATCTTCATGTCAATGGACTCCTTGTTGAGAAAATAATTGTCTGTTCTCTTACATGCTCATACAGTCATATTGAAATCAGACATGAATATGAAACTAGTGGAGAAACCAGAGGTTATAATTAAGGTTTACATTTAAAAATCGGCTTTTACATTTCTTCAATGGCTTTTTCTTTTGATTTTTTACTTTTCACTTGCTGTTATGGAATATGTTAAGTTTTCACACTTTATATGTACTTATTTTGTTTTGCCATGATCCTTGAGATAACTGGAAACTCACATAAGCCAAGGCCACATTGGACCCACCTTTGCAGTGCTAACCTAACTAAAGAGAATAATCACTCATCCTTTCTGTTTTCATGCCTATTGTACACATTGCAGTTTGCACTACTTGAAACCTCATCAGTAGATGACGATCTCGCACAGCTGAAGAGGGAGCTTTCTGGTAGTTCAATGGTATGCCTAATGTCTTTGTAGGCTGAAGAAATTATAAGATAAGCTTACCTCTTTGTTTAATTTCGGGCTTAAACACAGGTTTTTGTCCTAGGGATTCGTATCGTCCTGTAATTAGTGGCTGAATAAACAAGCAGAAAACGAAACATGGGAAATTTAAGATTACCTGGGATTATTGTAGTTTTTATTTGTTCTTTTACTTGCCTTTACCAAAATACACGGGCAGGACTTGAATGAAGAATTGTTCTAGACCTAAGCAATTTTTGAAATTTCCGATTTGGTCCGTGTGGTGTGGACTAAAACAATAACTTATTTATAATAGTTAATACTATTAGGAAATTGGGATGCAAAAATTCCGATTATTCTGATCATCAGCTGAAGCAAGATTTCATAGTCCATTAGGGCATCCCATTAGTAAGCTGATTTGAGCATATTTGTCAGATTATAATATTATCCAATTGTTAATTCTTTTTTGCTCTTTTCCCCTCGTTTTCATCCCTCCTATCGGTAACCTATGAGGTTGTTTTCTTTCCCAACAGAAAGGGGAGCTTCCGCCTGGAAGAACGGTCACCGAAACCAGTACAGCATCTCCATTCCGGGACACAGAGATTGAGATCGAACTAAACGAACTGAGGCGAAAGGCGAGGGATCTATAAACCATACCTGTATTGCCAGTGCAGAAGACTGGAATATTTATTTATTCAAAGCTTGAATGGGTTTTGCTCTACCATCAAATCTACCATGTAAAGCTAGAAAGATAACATCTTTTAGCTGGGTCGAATTCCGGTAAAAAGAAGGGTAATTTTCTTTTCTCTTTTTTCTTTTTTCTGGCTTGCATGAGTCAAGTTATGATTGTAAATTGACTTGAATCTGTAGCAGCAACTGTGGTGATTAGAATTTCATGTCTAAGATGCATAATTTCTTCTGCATATTTTCCCATTCTCATTACTTCCCTCTGTAATTTACTTACTTTTCTCATCCTACCAACCAAACAAAACCTTTTTTTGAGTATTCACATCTGAATCCTCTTGAGAGATTTCACATGTAGTGATGAAATATATATATGTCTTTTAAATTAAAAAGCATTCCCATCATTGCTCCCTTTTCCTAACCTTAATTTACTTAATTTATTTGCTTAAAATAAACATCATTTCAAAAAAGATTGCTGAGAAAATTCTTTTAAAAAAAGCTATTTATTTGACTTTATAAAAAAAAAAAAACTACATTTAAAAATTTCAACAATCACATCCATTTAATTTTTTTTTTTTTTTTTTTTTTATACAAAATCACATTATTTAACTCCTTTTAACTTTGATCAAACAATATAATTTTTACCCTTTCCAGGAAATCTCCATATTTTTCAATGACTCAAAAAATCAAACAAACAGCCTCTGTTCCCATTAGGCAAACAACATAACCATACATGGATTAGATCATGAACAAAACAAATATACCTACAAACTATTCAATTCAAAGTGCATTTTTGTTTTGCTTCAACAAACCCATTCAAATTTCAAAGCTACCACCAACCAATTAGTCAAATCCAAATCAGTTTCCTTTTTGGACTTCAATGTTCATACTCTTTTTTATTCAAGATAGACCAAAATTCCGTACTTTATAAACTAGTACTTATCGTTCTTAGTACGTCTAATTTTTTATAAAAAATTATAAATTCAAATTAAATTGTACTTTTATATGCATTCTCTTTTAGAAATTATTTGTATTGTATTATAAATTTATTTTAAAAAACTTGGTTTCTCATTTTTACGAAGGTCCAATAGAAGTTATCTAAAAGGAAGAAATTATATATTTTTTTATATATTTAATAATGTCTTAGTTTTATTCTTAGTTGAATTTTATTTTTTCTGAAACAATTTAATACCGTGAGTTTATTTTTAATTTTATTTATTATTTATTGTCCTGTAATTATTTTTTTGTAATAATTTAAGTCATAATAGGATCAAATTACATTTGATTATTTAAGATAAAAAAAAGTTTGAAGACATAAATGAAGAAAAATAAAAGGAAAAAAGGGCATTCAAGCAAAAAAAAAAACTTAGTCAATATATACTCAGTGTGTATATATTCAAACTTATAAGCCCATGCTTCAACTTACCCAGCAAATCAAAACTCAAACCCTAAATTTTCAGCCTCTGACCAATGACTCCTTCAAAAAATCTAAAGTCAACACTCCCTTCAAACCAAAACTCTTGGTCAACACTCTCATAAAGAAAAAAATATAAACATGTAACAGAAAACTTAGTCAATACGGTACCCCAGACAAGTCCAAGTAGACCCTATAAATACTTGAACCCACATCTCATTTTTCTCATACCCACATAACACGATCACTGAAAATTCAGCACAAACACATTCAGCCTTCAAACAAATTTCAGGAAAGGAAAAGAAAAGAAAAGAAAAGAAATCATGAACACCAAAAGGGTCAATGCTTTTGTTGTTGTTCTTGTCGTTGCAATTGTTGTATCGAGTTGTATCGAGGGCACCAGAGCTACGAGAATGTTGCAGGAGAATTTTGCAAAGGAGAATCATTTGGAGACATACTCGGTGGTATTTGAGAAGACCAAATTTACCATGTCAAATTGGCTCCAAATGCTGAAATCTGGTCCTAGCCCTAGAGGACCTGGTCATTAAGTTCTTCATGGTGAAGAAAGGAAGAATCTTGCACTTACAAGTTTGGAGCATAGAAAAATATTACATTTTATTCTTTTATTTTAAAGTATTTTTTTGGGTTAATTTTTACAGTATATTGTTGTGCAAAAAAAGTCATATATAATGAATCAAAGATAATAATGAATTTTATTGGTTGTAATTGTTAAATGATTGTATCTATCAATGGTCTATGACAATAAAATGTATCTATATTTATTTTACTATTGGTTTGGAATAATGGGTTTTGATTTTTTTTTTGTGGGTCTTTAGAAATGAAGATCTTGTTTGTTAATTCTTGCAAATGTATTGATATACCAAACAATCATATATATATATATATAAATGATTGCACGTATCAATATTGATCGTCCGATTATTATGAAATCGATATTTGTTTTACTATTCGTTTTGAAATAATTGGTTTTACGTGTCAAAACTCAGATGCATGGATGATCTAATTCAAGATCAGATTAGTTTGTAGTTTCTTTTAGAGCATATATTCATATGTTCATTAAATAGTTGATATATAAATATGGATTATAATACTGATTTAAACTAAAAATCTTTTGTAAAAATAAGAAGCTACTGTCAATCAGTTTTAAGCAGTGGTTTGTATATGGAAATGGGCTGTGTCAGCCATGGTCGATCTGGCCTAAAAAGTTTTGAGTTGTACCCAGTTCGACCTGAAAGTTGCAGTTGGTATGGTTTGAGCGACTAATAAGCTGGACTCTCTCCATCCTCAAAATTTTCCTTCACGTTCTCGCTTCCAAGCCGAGATTCCAAGACCCATCTTCGTCTCTGCCCGTGTTTCTTCCATTTTGATTGAGAACCCAATTGCTACTTGCGCGCCATTTTTACTTCATGAACAAACACCAGTTCTGCAACGCATCAGGATTTTCAAAAATGAGAATTTGAAATTGTTTTCATCTACCTGTTTTCTACCCACATCAGTTACACTACACGTTATTCTGCCATTTTCAACTGGAGTTTCAGTCATGGCTGCCGGGTACTTTTTTATTCCTTCTCCATTTCTCTTCATTTGTTTCGTCGTCCAGGTGTTCGTTAATTATTTGTTCAGGTTTGGTTTCAGAAGAAAATTGCAAGAAGATTTTTCGTATTTATTTACAGTGTCCTTCTGTATGGTGGTCTTGGTTTCACGCGGGCATTGAGTTGGTTTATGTATATGTTAAATCTGTATACGCTGACTGCTCCTTCTTTTCTGGGCTCTGGAGGATCCTGTGCTTGTTTTTCCATCCGAATTGATGTTCTACTTTTCATGATGTTTTTACTGCTGAAATGTCCTGTTGTGATATTCTCTTTTAGGGCCTTTTGGGATTTTAATATGATACTTACAATGATGACTTTATATGACATATAAATTTATTTTGAGGTGATTTAATGAATCTGATAGCTAAATAAACTACCATTCATCTCATCCTTAGTTCATATTGATTTTCTGGGTAACTTCTTTTTGCATATTCCTTTGTAACTTAAACAAAGAGCTCAATAGCTTTCCAACTTTATATACAAATAATTTTTAATTGTTTGGATCTGCAATTTTTACCTGTAAGGCGTTGAGAGAACATGCTTTTTAATTACTTTTTACTTAATCCTTATTAACCTTCTATGTTAGGATCAAATCAATTTTTATAAAAACTACTGGAGTTAATAGTAGTGTTTATTACAGTGAGGTTGTTGTTTCCTCCTGGTGTAGTATTGTGGCAATTGTTCTTATACTGGATTTTTTAGAGAGAGTGTCTGTGTGTGTGTGAGAGAGAGAGAGAGAGTAATAAATTTCATCAACTATCTTTTTATATGATATAGGAGGTCATAAGATTTTCGTAATGGCCACCTTCTTAATCAACTTGACAAAAAATTTTGTTTATTAATGAAGTAGCATATGGAGGCCACTGATTCTCTTTAGTCCTGATAAAACACAAGGAGATGGTGAAACTCAAAGCTCCCCTAACTTTATTATGTTCTTCTTGCCTTTATCCATCTCAGTTGATGCTACAAAACATAAAAGGAAAATAACAATGTCAATCAGTCTCCAATATTTTTGAAGCATGTGTGTATCTGTGTGCACGTGTAGAGGTGTATAAATAAGTAGTTGAACTCACTTTTGACAGTTGGTGTTCTTTGAGATAGGAATATTCATTTGAACACCGCACTTTGTAGGGAGAGAAGAGGCTGCATCTTCCTTGATATTGGGATAGCGAGCAGCAGCCTCCTTAACACAGTTGCAGGCAGCTTGGCGGTCAGCAGTGGTAGGCGTGATGGCCTTGAGATTTTTGACACCATCACAACATGCTGCAGCAGGTGTACCTCCTGCTGTTAGATAGGGAATGCATGCAGCCAATGATGCATTGACTTGGGCACAAGTCACAGCCCCCTCTCCTGGCTTAACCAAAAGCTGAGCCATCACTATCACTACCAACATTGATACCATTGCACCCTTCATTTTTTTTTGGTACTTTACTTTGAACTGGGAGCCACTGGTCACTACTAGCTGCCTCTTTTAGTTTAGTTGTGTTTTGAAGTGAAATGGCAGGGTGTGTGTGTATATATAAGCATGTCAGAGCTGAAGAAAGTTAGAAGTTGTGGGTCAAGCCATAACAATAGCGGTTATTCAGTTTTGTCATCTTCATTGAGTTGCAACATCTCTTGGTTAGCTAAAGCAGCCTAAAATAGTAAATGGGGATAAGCTTCTGAATCATATTTTCTTTCTCTTTATGCACTTTTCTTTTGATCTTACCTGGCTTGGCTAAAGGCTTATACCATAATTGCTGCGTGCATTATAATTTATTTTGCAGCAACTAGGAATGCAGTTCAAGGTATTGAAGGTGCATAGAACAAAAGATAATCACGTTTTAGATATTAAGTAAATTACTAACAGTTCATTTGTCATATCCACTAGTAGTATAGTCTGCAAGCTTTTTTTTTTTTTTTTTTTTTTCAAATTGAGTACATGCTTTGTATGCAACTTAATTGAGCTGTGTGGTCAACCTTTTGAAAAACTTAATAATTGTAAAGGATGATTAATAAAATTTTGACAGCTTAAAGGTTCAATAGTGAACAAAAGAAAT